CCCCCACCCCCACCCTCACTCTCACCCCCTTAGTTGCTACTCAAACTCTGGCACCTTTGTCGTAATTCCACTTTCCAGCCCTTGCCTTACACCGGGTTTGGCTGAAACCCTACAAAAACCAAGGCACTCCGCTGCCTTCTGGCGCCATCTCCTGGCCTTTCGAAGGTAGTGACATGTGAACCGGTCAGAATCAAAAGCGTCCGAGTGTGGCGAGTTTTTGGTTTGTTTTTCCTTCAAAGGCCCTTTTTAAAAAAAGGACATTTAAACTTACTAAATATCCCCAATAGTCTGAAACACCTCACAGGAAGCCATTAGGTTCTCTGAGTTTGTATGACGAGTACAGTGGGGCCTTGACTTACGAGTGTCCCGACTAACGAGTTTTTTGAGATACCAGCTGTCTCTCGGCTGATTTTTTGCATTGAGTTGATAGAGTAATTTGAGTTAATGAGCTCGGTCTCGAGCGAATTAAACTCGTAAGTCAAGGCCCCACTGTATATGAGAGTTCAGAGGAAGGGAGGCAGATCGAAAGGAACTTCCCCAAGCAGTACAGGTGGTAACTAATCGCTGAGGGCAGAGAATCAATGAGGAGAGAGAATTCGATAGCATCTGATTTCCTACAAGTGCAAGCAACTGTGTTTCATGAAGTAATACAGACCCGGAAATAGTCTAACCTGGTAGATAATCACATTTATTATCAAACCCTTGTCTTCTAACACATTGGTACTGAAGCCCCTCAGGTGAACACAAAAGTTTCCAAGAATTAAAGTAATTTGGGGAAGGGGTGGATCATTTTCTTAGTTTTCCAGTTCACATGCAGGACAGATACAGTATAAGAATCTTGTAGACAGAGGACAGGTAAGAATTTGTGGTCTGAAATGTTGTAACTTTAATTAAAAAGGAGTACTTTTGTGTCATGCATGGATTCCATGCCCAGAACACTGCCTGGTACATAAATATTTGCTGATTGAATGAATGAATCTAGTCATCGGGACATTTATTTACCTTTTTTTTTTTTTACCTTTGGATTTCGCAGAATTTTAGGCCAGAAGGACTCGCAGGCGTCATTCCAACTCCCTTATTTACCTTGTAAAGACTGAGCTTTGAGGGATTTGGGGATTTTCCTGTGGTTTCTCATACAGTTGCTAAACTGAACCAGAGCAAGGATATAGGTACCGCTGAACTTCCTCCTGTACCACTGCTTCTCAAACGACAGTGTGCACCAGAATCGTCTGGAAAGCTTATTAAAATACAAATTTCTGGGCCTCCCCCTTTCACAGTTTCTGATTCCATAGTTTGGGGTATGTCCAGAAATTTGCATTTCTGACAAGTTTCAGTGTGGTGCTGAGGCTACTGGTCCGAGGCACCACACAAGAACGGATGCCCCACACCAACTAGAGAAGCTGAGGTAGCAGGGGATTTGCCACTCTTTGTAGGGGTTCCAGCCACCTCGAATTGTTCTTTGCAGTCACTTTTGTAGAGTTTAGCAACAATACCTTCGTTAGTTATAAACATCTATGGAATACTTCTAGGCGCTAGGCATCATGCCAGACCCTAGAAATAAAAAAAATGAATCAGATGTAATCCCTGCCCTTAAGGACTTCTTAGGGGATGCAGATACCTTACCCAATTACTGGAATACCATGGTGACAAGTTCTAATTAGCGGTAGACCAAAGTGTTCATGGGAACCAAGGCAGATGGACAATTAGCAGTGAGATTTTCTGGACCTCATGTCAACAATCTTTCCACAGGCAGGGAGCATAGCTAGGTCCTCTAGTCACATGTAAGAACCTAAAAATTGCTACTCCAAGGAAGGCAGACTCCTGCTTCATTGTCTCTGAGGGTGACACCAAATGATAGGTTATATCAAGGCCGGATTCCCTTAATATAGCTGACAAACTGCTCCCTTTGCAAGGAGGAAGGACAAAGGATATCATGGTGCCCGAGAATTGTGATTTTTTGTCCCATCTGCTTTGGTGGCCACCTCATTCTGCCTATCTTCTCCCCTTTCTTTTTCTTCTCTTCCATTCATCTAACTCAAATGATGATTGTGTACCCACCCAAGCAAAATACATTAACACTTCCTTTCGACTGACTGAAGATTCTGTTAAAGAGAATTTTTTCTTTATTTTCCTGTATGTCTGAATTGCTATAGGAATAGAAATAAGAGGGTAATACACCAAAATCTTGTGACGATGGGTATTAGTGGTTTAAATCATCCCCTAAAGAAGAAGTCTATTCTCAGATCAGAATGTGACAAATGATCTGGATTTCTTTGAAACCTTATAATGGACTAGCTTGCTGTGCTTTCATTGACATGTTGCTCTCAAAATATCTGTACATTTTTCAAAAGGATGTGGGTCTTGAAGGGTAAAGTCACTTGGCTGAGGTTACACAGAAATATTAATAGGACAAAGAATCAGGCTCTGACTGACCCCTCACTCAAAAGGTGTTAAAATAATTAAAAAACAAAAATCTTTAAAGAAAATAGAGGGAAGCCCTAGCCGGTTTGGCTCAGTGGATGGAGCACTGGCCTGTGGACCAAAGGGCCCCAGGTTCCATTACCGTCAAGGGCAGGTACCTGGTTGCAGGCTCCTCCCCCATCCAGGACCCTGGTCTGGGCTCCTGCAGGAGGCAACCAATCGACGTGTTTCTCTCTGTCTTTCCCTTTCTCTTCTACTCTCCCTAAAAATCAATGGAAAAATACCCTCAGGTGAGGATTAACAGAAAAGTAAATAAAAATAAATAAATAAAGGAAATAGAGGGTAATTCTGGCTCAGTTAATTCCCTGTAGTAGCTAAGGAGGCATTGCTCTGAGGAGGAAGTACAAATACAAAAACCAATAAACCTATTTTTACAGCTTCAAGTAGCCGAAACCGGTTTGGCTCAGTGGATAGAGCGTCAGCCTGCGGACTCAAGGGTCCCAGGTTCAATTCCGGTCAAGGGCATGTACCTTGGTTGCGGGCACATCCCCAGTGGGGAGTGTGCAGGAGGTGGCTGATCGATGTTTCTAACTCTCTATCTCTCTCCTTTCCTCTCTGTAAAAACTCAATAAAATATATTAAAAAAAAAAAAAAGCTTCAAGTAATTTCTAAGGCAACACCTGCAAAAGTGAAATGCAAAATCTTTTAAAGGTTACACTGGCTTTGTTCAATGATTCATAAATCACTTATTAATGCGTTCACAGACCCTGCATTCTCCCCATTGTTCTATCATTCATCTTGCATTTTATTTCATGTATCACATGTATTTTATTTAAGCAACCCTCTCACAAGTTGGTTATAAATCCATGCACTTTGGGAAGTATTGGCCCTTTTGCTCCTTTTTTAAAACAATGAAAAAGAAACAGTTCCTTGGAGTTGGCACCAGAACGGTAGAGAACATCTAATATTGGAAATGGTTTGTCACTTTTCCTTAATTATTATTTTAAATTATAGAAGTGATAGCTGATTAGGGAAAATAGAAGATTCAAAAAAATAACATCACTCAAAATTCTCACAATTAGAGATAACCACTGTTAATATTCTGATACCTTACAAACTTTTTTTCTATGAAGCTACATCCGAATGCATATATTTTGTGTGTATAAATATTGTTTTTATAAAAATAGGACCATACTATATACATAATTGGTCTATAACCTTTCTAACATTATTTTGTGAACATGCTTCTATGTCAAAAACATAAATCTCTGTCATCAATTTAAGCTGCATAGTATTATATAGAAGTAACTGATGTATTGAACCAATCCTTTGCCTTCAGACTCTTAGGGTCCCCCCTCCCCAGTTTTTACCTATAACAAACAATATTTCAATCACAATATTCTTGTTCACGTATATTTACACATCCGTCCAATTGTTTTTTAAAGTGGAATTGCAAGAGGGTATATAGTTAAAAAAAAAAACCCACCTTTTTATTGGGAAAAAATGTTCAGATTCATTCCTTTTTAAAAAATAAA